AAGCCAAGCCTAAATAGGCCTAAGCCAGAGGCCTAAAGCCAAGCCTTAGCTAAGTCAATGCCAGAGTCAAGCCAAACCTAAGCCCAGGCTAAGCCAAACCTAAGTTAGGCCTAAGCCAAACCTAAGCCAGGCCTAAGCCAGGCCTAAGCCAAGCCTAAGCCAAACCTAAGCCAAGCCTAAGACCAAGCCTAAGCCAAGAAATAAGCTAACCTCCCAGCCAAGCCTAAGCCAAGCCTAAGCCAAGCCTAAGCCAAGCCTAAGCCAAGCCTAATGAAGCCTAAGCCAAATAGCCAAGCCTAATTTATGGCCTAAGCTTCGTCCGGAACTTCCGTTCTTTCAGCACTGCACCTGCCGCCGCTACCCGACCGTACATTGCCGACCTCGTCAGGCTTCCACCACGTCCTCGTCGAGATCGTCAAGTCCCCGAGGGTAACTACAGCTGTACAAGTACCTCAATAATTCCTGCTCCAGGACCTCCGGATGTGCCCCCACCGTCAAGGACTGCTCGCCAGCGCCACCCCTCGAGCAGCCGTTCCGGTTCTCAGTATGGCTGCAGGCTTGGATACCCAAGGTTTGGTGGCAAATATATAGTTATGCTTGTACCCGGCTTGGTACAAATGAATATACAAATGACAAAAGTGACAAAAAATGACAAAATGACAAATGAAAATGACGGTACAAATATACAAATGACGCGGGAATTTTGTGTGTGGCAATGAGGGGCCCCCCAGTGCGGCACAGAATCCGGCCACCCTTTCCCTATTTAGCGTCCCCATCCCATCCGATGACTTGCCACTATGGCCCTGGATAGCATCAGGCCTACAAAACAGGGGTCCCAGGTTTCGACCCCGGGTGCTGCATGGTTTTGCTTTTGAGCCGCGAAAGGTTGGGCATCCCCTTTAAGTGCGGTTACCCCAAGCCGACCCCCACCTACCGTATCTCGTCTCCCTGTTCCAGCTACAGATGTGTGAAGTATACCAAAATGCTCGCAGAGCAAGACAGGTTTATATTGGTATACTTTTACACCTGTGAATGAACATTTATGAATACAAAAGTATGAAACACCGGCTGGAGAGAAGTATCTGGAGAGTTGACCTTCCACTTCAGCTACCCGTCGATTGCTCCGCTCTGGCTGACCCGTGGCTGCCGGGCGGCTACGGCTGCGGCCCGGCACAACAGGCCCGCCATCAGGCCGGACAGCCCACGCATCTTCTCCAACGAGATTGTCGAGCACAACAACTGACCACCGCAGGCACGTCAGATGCGGTAAGATGGGGGTTGTTGTAGCCATTCAATCACCCCAATTTCAACTGCCCGGGCACAAACCAGGTGTTCTGCCTCGCTGACGATGGCAAGAGCGCGGGCTGCTCCAAAACTTCCAATGCGTCAGCCACCATGACCGCGATCCGCAGAAACGGAAGGAGGACGAACTCAACAACTGTCGCTGCGGTAGGGGCTTAGGCTTAGGCTTGGCTTAGGCTGGCAAACCACGCAAGGCAAACAGCAAACTGGACAAACCAACCAGGCTTGGCTTAAACGGCTTCTTCCAAGCTCATAAAGTCCCTCATTATGCTCATCCCCCTTAATTCTAGGCAATAGCGGCACTTTGGTGTCGATGATCAGCGCCACGATTGCGATGCTGCGCTTCTAGGCGTTTCAAGGCTCTTACAAAGGTGGATGCTTTTAAAGTTGTTATGATTAACTTCTGCTTCCCCCGTTAATAGCTCAGTACCAAAATTCGCGCAACGACTGCTAAATTCCGACGGTGAAGCAAGGCGAGCCAGAGCCTGCGGCGCCAGGCTCTTCGTGAAGCGCAGCGCCAATGAGGTGCTTGAGGTTAGATTAAAGGTTCCAATACCCCCCTACCGTCCTTGCTTCCAGTTGTCGTACGCTCCGCTACCAGATAAACGCGGGCCCGTTCGCGCCATACAGCCCTGGCAACAAGATCGCCCTCCACGATTAGGGCATCCGGGCTCGGCGACCTTAGGCTTTTGGTGTGACTGAGCAGATCACACCGCCCGGCGCCAACCACAAGCTTACCATCCGCTAGGTGGGCCTCTCTCTCTCTCTCTCTCTCTCTCTCTCTCTCTCTGTCCCTCTATCTCTTTCTTTCTCTCTGTACTCTCTCTATCTCTCCCTGTCTCTCTTTCTCGCCGCTCTCGCTCTCTCGCTCTCTCTCTCGTACTCTCTCTCTCTCTCTCTCTCTCTCTCTCTCTCTCCTCTCGCTTTCCTTCCCGACACTCTCTCTCGCTCCCTCGCTCTCTATACCCCTATCTTCTCCCCCTCTCTCGCTCGCTCGACCTCTCTCTCTTCCTTCGCTCTCGCTCTCACTGTCTCTCTCTCTCTCTCTCTCTCTCTCTCTACCTATCCTCTTTACCATGCCCGGATTCGCAGACTCTACTGCTCTGAGGATCAAATCAGCAGAATCGACCCCCGGGCTGCTACTCGACGTCGGAAGTAAAGAGAACCGGCACGGTACCGGCACCAGAATTCAAATGCGGTAGGACATGGCGGTATATTGGGGCTTGTCTGTTAGCGGGGGGTATGTGTCTTCTCCTGGGCATTTGACTGTTCAATCTGTTTTTAGCGAAGCTGTCGGACTCCTTGACAGTGACTCGACAAGCCGGACGGGTATCACGAGAAATGTCCCCTGAAATTCTCCTCTTTCCTACAGCCGGCCTCTACATGTGGGGGCTCCTCAAGCGGCACGAGCGACCAGGGAGAAGTACCCCTGCCCGGCCAACTACACTCTGTCGCTGTGCGGAGTGCGCAACTTATATCCCCGCCGTGCCATACTCAGGGCCATGATCGGTGATTCGATTGTCTCTGGTTCGGCCGCGACACGTTACGGGGGAACTTCCCGGGGCTTCAACTGTTGTAGCTCGGCTCGATGGTGTGCTACTGGACCGTAAAGTATACCAAAATACTCCCCGGGGCAAGACGCACATTTTGGTATATTTTACGCACCTGCAGCATGACGGAAAATTGGGCTTATGGTTCGGCCGCGGCGCGCGTTGCGTGGAACTTCCTGGGGCTTCCAACTGTTGTAGCTCGGCTCGATGATGTGCTACTGGGCCGTCAAGTATACGAAAATACTCCCCAGACCCGTGCGCATATTTTGGCATATTTTAGAGCTTTGTAGCACAACAGGAAGTTCGCCTATTGTACGACCCCGAAACGCAACGCGTGGAACTTCCCGGGCTTCCGACTGTTGTAGCTCAGCTCGATGATGTGCTACTGGGCTATAAAGTATACGAAAATACTCCCCAGGCCAAGACGCGTATTTTGGTATACTTCAGAGCATTTTAGCACCACGGGAAGCTAAGATACATGTGTGGCAGTTGGCGCCATTACGCCATGTAATAGCCGCGCGCGTTACAGGTCTATTTTGATGCGAAGCACACCAAAATACTCCCCAGGCCAAGACGCACATTTTGGTATACTTGACACCGCTGTGACACGATCGGAAGTCGAGATAAGGGAGTAGGGGTCGGTCGGGGTCTGAACATCTGCAACATCACGTCGTGTCGACGTCAAAGCACGTAAAATTCCAAATTTTGACGCTAGATTCGAAATCCATGGAAATTTTTGATAGCTTTAGCCGTTTTCACCTTAAAAATTGACCCGGAAATCACCGATATCGATGAATTGGGCGCTGGGGGAGGGCATTACGGCATGTAATTGCCACGCGCCTTAAAACCACCTTTTGGCGCAAAAAAAAATTTTTTTTTGAGATGTGGCTTTTCTACGCTATTTTTGTAACTTAACGATAAGTATACCCTTTCCAGAACCTCGTCCACTACTGCACCCCGACACGACTGTGGTCAACGAAACAGAAGGACGGCTGCACGTCGTTCAACAAGCCCGCCGAGGGCGAGATCAGCGACGAAGGGATCGCTTTCATCGAACAAATCCCCGCCACAGCCAAGGCTTACTCCTACAACGTCGTTTATGGTGAGCTGGCTTGGCTTAGGCTTGGCTTAGGCTTGGCTTAGGCTTGGCTTAGGCTTGCCTTGGGCTTGGCTTAGGATTGGCTTAGGCTTGGCTTAGGTTTGGCTTAGGTTTGGCTTAGGCTTGGCTTAGGTTTGGCTTAGGCTTGGCTTTGGCTTAGGCTTGGCTTAGGCTTGGCTTAGGGTTGGCTTAGGCTTAGCTTAGGCTTGGTTTCGCGTGGCTTGACTTGGCTTAGGCTTGACTTAGGCTTGGCTTAGGCTTGGCTTAGGCTTGGCTTAGGCTTGGCTTAGGCTTGGCTTAGGCTTGGCTTAGGTTTGGCTTAGGCTTTGCTCAATCTCCTAAAGCTCGAGCTCATTTTCAGCCTGCCGCGGACCGAACGAGGTGTTCTGCTTGTTCGGTGGACTGTCTGCTGACTGGTGGCTGGGCCCGGGCTGCTACAGCGACGTCTCCAGCCCGTCGCAGTGCGCTTGCGGTAAGTTCATCTACCACCCCAAAATCAACCCTATTTTCAGACTCGGCTAACAAGAATACGACGCTCAAAGAATCCGGTACGTTGCTGGTACTGCTTGATGACGCCGCCGCCCCTTTTCCAGCCAGCCCCGAGCTCCTCGCCGCCATGGACTACTACAGCAAGGCGCAGCGGACCAACGGAGCCGAGCTGAAATGTGGCCGCAGCTTTACCGTCCAACGTTCGCCCTACTTGTTCTCCAAGGTACTGGACCCTTAGCGGGGGTGGGGGACTGGTATCTAAATCGTATTAATTTTGTTATAGTGGAAAGCCTGGTGCAGCGTGGGTGGCGTACCGTACGACGTGGACTCGGGCTGCCAATATCTGGCCGACAAACCCCCGGAAGGTGCTGCCATCGCCGCCGAGGAGGTCATCAAAAACGAGCCGAACTTGTGGCATCACGTCTACTATGGTGAGAGAGAGAGGGAGAGAGAGTGATAGAGAGAGAGAGTGAGAGAGAGTGAGAAGAGAGGGAGCGAGAGAGAACGAGAGGGAGCGAGAGGGAGCGAGGGAGGGCGGGGGAGAGAGCGAGAGAGAGCGAGAGAGGGAGAGAGGGAGAGAGAGCGAGATAGAGTGATATAGAGAGAGAGAGAGTGAGAAAGATAGGGAGCGAGCGAGAGAGAGAGGGAGAGAGAATGAGAGTGAGAGGGAGCGAGAGAGCGAGAGTGCGAGAGAGTAAGAGTGAGAGTGAGAGAGATATATAGGGTGATGATTTCAAAATCTCTTTCTTGTAGGCTGTAAAGCGACCCAGACGTTCTGCGCGGAGACCGAGCCGAATGGACTGCCCGGATGCTACAACTCTAATGACTTGAACGTCACTGGCTCACCGCCCGTCTGCAAGATGTCGAACGCAAGCTTGGGGCTGACGTTGGAAACCGGTAAGAAAATTTTCATTTTAACCAGGGTTGAAAAACCGCTTCGCGGTAATCGCGATGGAGCCATCCTCCTTCACCACCCTTTTTGCAGCGGCCAGCCAGGAGATGATGCTGCTCTATAAGACCCTCGGCCAGAGCCAGAAGCTCGCCATTCGACCCGACGACACCCTGCAGTCCAAACGGACGCTGTACTGCTTGGCGACGGGCAAGGGATTCGGGCCCGAGTGGCCACATTGCGAAGTGGACTCGACCCCGCATCAACGCGCCGAGCGCACCTTGTACTACGAATATGTGAAGCACGACCTCGACAAGTACAAGGTGTTTTATGGTGGGTCTCTCTCTCTCTCTCTCTCTCTCTCTCACTCTCTCTCACGCTCTCGCTCGCTCTCTCTCTGTCTCTCTATCTCTCACTCTCTCGCTCTCTCTCACTTACATTCTCTCTCTCTCTCTCTCTCTCTCTCTCTCTCTCTCGCTCTCTCTCTCTCTGGCACACACTCCCATTTTCCAGTCTGCCCGCTCCACTCGGTGCCCTGCCAAAACGGCGACACGATCGCCTGCTACCCGGGCCTGGAGCGCGACATGACCAAGCCGTTCGAGCTGGTATGCAAGCCCGACGCGACGAAGAAGTCCAAGCCGCAGAAAATCACCGAGTACCACGTCGCCGACTACCTGGCCATCAAGAAGGTCAGTGCCGAAGCGCAAGTCCCTCCCCCGTTAATAGCCTAGTACCGAGATACCTCATTACATACCTCTTTTTTAGCGCAAAACCCAAAATGCGCAACGCCATCCCGAGCTGTAGAAGCCGGCGACTTCTTCAAGCCGTTCACCAGCATCAGACTATTGGGTTTTTTGGGGTAGGTTTCTATTTGCTTCTGATTTGTCTTTTCTCTCTCTTTCTCTCTCTCTCGCTCTCTCTCTCGCTCTCTCTCTCTCGCTCTCTCTCGCTTCACACTTTATCGCTATTTTTTCAGGCTCGACCTTCGCGTCGCCCGCCTCGGCCTTGCTGTTCTCCCTCGACCACTACGCCCCGCATCTAAAAACGCCGGAAAAAACCATAAAAAAATTGCATTCCATATCTGTTCTATTGTGATTGGATGGTCGTGGCCAATTCTTCCGCCAATTCCATTCCACGTGTGTGTTTGTTTGTATTTGCGTTTTTGGCAATAAATATACCGGGGGAAAATCGCTGGGAATCACACTCACTAGCCTCTATTTTGCCGGTGCGTTACTGTATCACGCTCGCGATACCGCGCCCGGTATGCGTAACATCATCTTGTGTGATCGGCTTGTTGACCTTGGAACTACGTTTACCAGGTCCGATGCTCTCGCACAGTACGCAACCGTAGCCGTAAACTGTCGCACTTTACGCGCTCGTATTAGGCACTCCTGTACGTCACTGAATTATCTAGCGGGAGCACAGAAAGCCGCGAACCGTAGGCGCAATTACTACGGTACGTACCGCTCGTCCACTACCGTATCCCGTATTGTGCTTCCTTTTCGCAAACGTCGCACCGTACACATGCGTGACCCACGTTCTCGTACAGTACATCCTCCGGGACGTGCGACCAGTACCGAACCGTATTTTTTTGGCATGTTTTGACTTCGTGGTTCGTAATTCGTAATAGCGGATTTCGGCTTGGGCCGGTCGTTCGCCGCACAGTACGCGCGGCTACGCCCGTGCCCGCGCCATCCTTCGCCATAGGCTCGAGGTATCTGTGGAACACCCTAGCTGGTACGCGGCCATACCAAAAGCAGGCCGAACGCTTGCATACTCTTTACTACTACGCACCCGTTCCGTGCCTTGCCAGGCAAAGCTGTATGAGAGTTGGCCGTGAAACGTCGTTCTTCACCTTCAAACCGTGGTGGTAATGTGTGAAGACTTTACACTTCGACAATGCCGCAATTTGCATCCCACCCTATTTGCCTAAAGGTTGTTATTTCCTTATTTTCCAACTCTACTCCTACTTACCCGGTCGGATGAGACACCCGTTATTTTGGGTCGTCCTGCTCTTCGACCTTTTCCCAGGCCATTACCCTGTTGCCGTGGTAAAAATACTCGAACGATAGAGATCTACGTCTCAACTTAGGGCAAATTCCGATGCGCCGTCGACGGCAACCCGTACGACCCGTCCGTGAAGCCGCCGTGTAAAGCGGCGGCACCGGGATCTGGTGGTGACGCCTTTAACGAACACATCAAGAAGGCTGATGGCGACATCGAGGTCGTGTATGGTGGGTGGCTAGCAGAGATTCTTTGAGGAATGGACGGGGCAGGCTAGCAGAGATTCTTTGAGGAATGGAGGGGCAGGCTAGCAGAGATTCTTTGAGGAATGGAGGGGCAGGCTAGCAGAGATTCTTTGAGGAATGGAGGGGGCAGGCTAGCAGAGATTCTTTGAGGAATGGAGGGGCAGGCTAGCAGAGATTCTTTGAGGAATGGAGGGGCAGGCTAGCAGAGATTCTTTGAGGAATGGAGGGGCAGGCTAGCAGAGATTCTTTGAGGAATGGAGGGGGCAGGCTAGCAGAGTTTCTTTGAGGAATGGAGGGGCAGGCTAGCAGAGATTCTTTGAGGAATGGAGGGGCAGGCTAGCAGAGATTCTTTGAGGAATGGAGGGGCAGGCTAGCAGAGATTCTTTGAGGAATGGAGGGGGCAGGCTAGCAGAGATTCTTTGAGGAATGGAGGGGCAGGCTAGCAGAGATTCTTTGAGGGACTGAAGGGCAGGCTAGCAGAAAGCTTTTATCTTCAGTCTGCCCCCACCCCGGCGAGACGTACTGTCTGCTGCTCCGCGACCGAGTAGATGCTCAACCCGGCTGCTACAAGCAGTACAAGAGGACGGCCGAGCCGAAGTGTCCGTGTGGTTGGTTTTTTACGATAGTTAAGAATTTCTATAATTTTCTAGCATTTAACGAAGGGCCGTCCGGCGTGACCGATCCGCACGCGCCGACTACAAATGGTAGGACAGCCGAGATCATTGGGGAAACTTGTTGAACTTGTTGAATTCATTGTTTCAAGTGAGCAACACCCTGCGCGCCCTCCACCAGAAGTACATCGACGGGGCCGGCGACGCCTTGGAGCAGGCCTACTGCGATCAGCTCGTCTTCACCCGGCCCGCACCTGCTCCTGCTCAGGGTCCCAAGGGGAAAAAGAAGAAGTCGCAAGATATGTGGGTATTTTCCAAATGATCTCTGCTAGACTGCCCCCACCCCTCTCTCTCATCCCAAATGATCTCTGCTAGCCTGCCCCCTCCCCCTCTCTCTCATCCCAAATGATCTCTGCTAGCCTGCCCCCCCCCCCTCTCTCTCATCCCAAATGATCTCTGCTAGCCTGCCCCCTCCCCCTCTCTCTCATCCCAAATGATCTCTGCTAGCCTGCCCCCTCCCCCTCTCTCTCACCCCAAATGATCTCTGCTAGCCTGCCCCCCTCCCCCTCTCTCATCCCAAATGATCTCTGCTAGCCTGCCCCCTCCCCCTCTCTCATCCCAAATGATCTCTGCTAGCCTGCCCCCTCCCCCTCTCTCTCATCCCAAATGATCTCTGCTAGCCTGCCCCCTCCCCTCTCTCATCCCAAATGATCTCTGCTAGCCTGCCCCTCCCCCTCTCTCTCATCCCAAATGATCTCTGCTAGCCTGCCCCCTCCCCCCCCTCTCATCCCAAATGATCTCTGCTAGCCTGCCCCCTCCCCCTCTCTCATCCCAAATGATCTCTGCTAGCCTGCCCTCTCCCCCTCTCTCACCCCAAATGATCTCTGCTAGCCTGCCCCCTCCCCTCTCTCTCATCCCAAATGATCTCTGCTAGCCTGCCCCCCCCCTCTCTCTCATCCCAAATGATCTCTGCTAGCCTGCCCCCCCCCCTCTCTCTCATCCCAAATGATCTCTGCTAGCCTGCCCCTCCCCCTCTCTCTCATCCCAAATGATCTCTGCTAACCTGCCCTCCTCTCTCTCGATCCCAAATGATCTCTGCCAGGTTGCCCCTGTTCGCGTCGGTGCTCGGCCACGTGATCATGATCTGCATCCTCCTCGCCCTGCTCGTCGTCTCGGCCAAGATCTACCGTAAGCGGATGAACGAGCTGGAGAAGACAAGGGTGGACCCGGAGCGCGACTCGTTGTCCCGCAGCAACTCGACGGCGTCGGTCAGCAACAGTCGGGACGTCAGGAAGCCGAAGGTGGGGGCTAGCAAAGATCATGTGGGATGAGAGAGGGGAGGGGGCAGGCTAGCAAACACCATTTCTTCCATTCCAGGGCTGGAAGCGTCTACTCCCGTCAACGCACAACAAGCCCGCAGCCCTCCCCCGGACCGACTCGCTGAACGGCTCGCGCTCGTCGGCCTCCAAATCCGGGTCCCAGTCGGACTCCAGGGCGTCCGATCCGAACAACAGCCGCGCCAGCGAGCCGCGCAAGCGCCCGCTCCAGGCGCTCACTGAACGGCTCGTGGTTGGTGGAGGGCTGGCAGAGATTCTTTGAGGAATGGACGGGGCAGGCTAGCAGAGATTCTTTGAGGAATGGACGGGGCAGGCTAGCAGCGATTCCTGAGGAAATTTCGATATTTTCAGCCCAGCCTCAACGAGGACCAGAAGGGCCGGAAGAAGCCGAGCAACCTCGCCGGTTCGCGGGTAAGGTAACCTGGAGCTTTAAAGGGATTGGCAAGGCAAGGCTGTGGATTCTTTCCGGAGTTGTATGCTTCCCCGTCCCTTTAAAGGCCCAGTAAAACCAAAAAACCCATAGATTCACACCTTCAGGTGGCCGCCTCCGAGTCGCAGACGCTGAACCGCAAGGCGAAGAAGTCCGGTGGTGGAGGTAGAAAGTCGAAGAGCAAGTCGGCTGAGGCGCCGAGCCGAGCGGACGCGTCGCGTGCCGCCAGCGTCGGCCAGAAGAAGAAGAACTTCCTGAAGAAGGACTACGAGAATCCGGAGGACTGGACACTCGGCACGACGACGGGCAGCCAAGTGGTAGGCTAGCAGCGACTCTTTGCGGAATTGCTGAGGCATGCTAGCAGAGATTCTTTGAGGAAATTCGAAAATGGGTCTAAATACAATTAAAAACAAGATTTCTCAATTTTTCCAATTTTTCAGTCGATCGCCCAGCCCGCCTCCCGTGCCCAGAGCCCCAGCCCGAAGCGCAAGAATAAGAGCAGAAGCGGAAGCGGGAAACCCAAGGCTGGGAAGCGCAGGAAGCAGTCGAAGGAGGGCGGCAAGATGGGCGACCGCCGCTCGCGTGACGCGACGCGCAGCAAAACCGAGAGGGTAGGGCAGGCTAGCCGTGATCATTTGGGATGAGAGAGAGGGGGCAGGCTAGCAGAGATCATTTGGGATGAGAGAGAGGGGAGGGGCAGGCTAGCAGAGATCATTTGGGATGAGAGAGAGGGGGAGTGGGCAGGCGAGCAGAGATCATTTGGGATGAGAGAGAGGGGGGGGGGGCAGGCTAGCAGAGATCATTTGGGATGAGAGAGAGGGGGCAGGCTAGCAGGGATCATTTGGGATGAGAGAGAGGGGGAGGGGCAGGTTAGCAGAGTAAATTGAGGATTGAGCGGGGCTAGCTAGCAGAGACCCTCTAACCCTAATTTTTCCAGGAAGACGACAGCGGCACGCGCTCGCGCTCCCGCTCACGCGCAGACCGTCGCAAGCGCGACAACACTCGCACCGCTGGAGATGACCGGACAGCGGAGAGCCGCCAGCAGACCGACCAGAGCGCCCGCCGCAACCGCAACAAGCTCAGCAAGGTCAGCTTAAAGGGACAGTGACAGCAAGGCGTACGTTTGTAGGAGAAGAAGCGCCCAGTTGACTCTCGAAACGCGCGCAGCAGCAGCGCCGTCCCGTCCAAGGAGTGCACCCAGCAGCACGATTACCCGATGGTCGGTATCTCTCTCGCTCTATGTCATCTCGCTCTCACTCTCTCACTCTCTCTCACTCTCTCTCTCTCTCTCTCTCTCTCTCTCTCTCTGTCTCTCACTCTCTCTCTGTCTCGCTCGCTTTCTCTTTCTCTCTCTCCTCTCTCTCTCTCTCTCTCTCTCTCTCTCTCTCTCTCTCTCTTCAAAAATCTCTACAATTTTCCAGAATTTCCCGACGTCGAAGGACAAGACGCGTGACATCTCGCCGAGCCCCAGGCGCAGTGGCAAGAAGCCGAAGAAGCCGTGAAAAAACGAATACATCCCACCAGTTTCGAATACAACTCCGTGTTTTGTATCGTATCGTATCGTGTTGTATTTTCCGTTTCATTGTCTCGAGTGGAATAAATGGCTTTTCATGGGAATTTTATACTACCTTAGAGAATGGAGAACGAAATAGAGTAGTAAAACCGCCGACTAGAACTTTAAAGGGACCAAGAAGCCTGGCTCGGCCCCGCTTCGCGCTGATTTCTGGCGGTTAGAGTGCAGTTTACCCCCAGCCGGCACCCAACTTTTGTATCTCGGCTCCCTGTTCATCTACAGGTGTGTAAAGTAGTATACCAAATTGTCTGTCTTACTCTGGTGAGTATTTTGGTATACTTTAGACACCTGTAGATCAACAGCCGAGATACGGTAGGTGGGGTCGGGGGAGGGGGTGGGGTAAATTGCAATTAAACCTTCCTGGCAAATAGCCAGATGCGGCTGCGACGCTTGTGCTCCTGTCCCTATTTGGGCGTGAAAATGGAAAAAAAATGGAAAATTTTGAGGACTTTCTTCCAGAAATTCGTCGAAGATACTTTCAGAGCGCATTAATCTCACTGGAATTTTGCGGAACCAATAATTTTTTTGAAACATGTTTTTGTGTGATCGAAATTTTTGATCATGATGAGCACTAAATCTCTCAAAACTTCATGGTAAATCGGCGACCAGTCTAGCCTAAAAGACCAAGAAGCCTCCTCCGGAACCACTGATTTTTTGAGACAGCTTTTCGTAAATTTCATTTTTTTTTTTGATTGAGGATCGAGATTCATTTTTGATCTTGATCGTGGAGCGGCCACCATCGTAATCTTAAGGGACCAAGAAGCATATCCAGACGGGTTATTACCTAGATTCTGAGGCCATTCTTTGAGAAAATTGCTTAAGGAATTGCAGAAAGGTGATTAACCTCGTTAAGAGCTTCCGGAACCACTGATTTTTTTGAAACATGTTTTGCGTGCTTGAAGTTCTTTGATCAAGATGAGCACTCGATTGATGGAAAACTGCCGTTAAAACCACGACCAGCCCACCTTAAATGGACCAAGAAGCCTCCATCCGTCCGGAGTGTTTATTCCTGGCAAATAGCCAGATGAGGCCGCGACGCCACCGCGCCGCATGCCTTTTGTCCCTACTTAGGCCGGAAACGGCAAGGATTTGAAGATTTTGAGGGCAAATTTGAGGATTTTTTCCGAGGGTTTTCAAGGGTATTAATTGGTCGAAGGCATTAACCTCGTTAAAAGTTTCCGGAACCATAATTTTTTTGAAAAATTCTTTCGTAAATTTGTTTTTTTTTATTGAGCATGTGCATTAGCTCGTTGAGCGGATGCTTGAGCGGCCACCAGCCTTTCATAAAGGGGCTAGGAAGTTTGATTGACGCCTCAATTCCTGGCAAATAGCCAGATACGGCCGCGATACGACTTACCAATTTGGAGGTAAAAATGATGCAGGAGAAATCGGAAATTCGAAGAATTTGCCTTGATTAACTCCTGATTTTCCTGGATTTTACCATCCACTGTGCAGCATTTATCAACCTCGTTAAAAGCTTCCGAACCAGAAATTTTTTGAAACATGTTTTCGTAACTTTGATTCGTTTTTTTCGATTGAGCATGAGCATTAGATCTTGATCGTGGAGCGGCCACCACCAGCGTATTCTTAAGGGACCAAGAAGATACGACCACAACGCGATCGCCCCGCCGCTTTTCGTTTGTCTGTTTGTGCGTGAAACTGCAAGAATTGGAAAATCCTGAGGCCATTCTTTGAGAAAATTGCTTAAGGACCTGCAGAAAGGTGATTAACCTCGTTAAAATCTTCCGGGACCACTGATTTTTTTGAAACTTGTTTTTGTAAGTTTGACGATTTTTGATTAACATGAGCACTAAATCTATGAAAAACGGATGCTAAGGCGGACCAGCGAATCTTAATGGCTCCAGAAAGTTTGATCCACTCCACCCCTCTCCGTCCTCGATTCCTGGCAAATCCTCGATTCCAGGTTTGGCCGCAACGCGACCGCGCCGCATGCATTCCTGACCCTACTCGAACTTGAAAATGCAAGAATTTGCAAATTCTGAGGTCATTCTTTGAGAAAATTCTCTGAGCTATTTTCCCCGTTTTTCAAGGGGTTTTGTTTTTAAATCCCGAGGACTCATAATGGCGAACACTTTAATCGACACCTATTAAAGTCGTAGAAATTTCCCGGAACGAGTGATTTTTTGAAACATGTTTTTAATGGTTGTAACTTTTTTAAATGGAATTTGTAATAAGTGTGAGCGTTAAAACTGTTGTTAAACTACTGCTGTCTCTCTCTATCTCTCTCTATTTCACTCTCTCTCTCTCTTTCTCTCGCTCTCTGCCTCTCTCTCTCTCTCTCTCTCTCTCTCTCTTCCATCGCTCGCATGTTTTCACACCGCGCATTCATAAAAAAGATTAACTCATTTATTCAAAAGACAATAGAAGTAGATGATCGTTGTAATCGCATTAATATAGCACGAGTTGAAGACGTTGAGCCGCTTATTCGGTGGCCGACTCGGAGGTGGCGCTTGAAGGGGTACACGAGTCGGTAGTTGATCGGAAGGGGGCCAACGCGAAGAAGGAGGGAGCCGAGGGGTGGGGCTGCAGGCGGAGACGTCTGAAAGCAGATGGGGCAGGCTAGCAGAGATTCTTTGGGAAAGGACAGGCTAGCAGTGATGATTAGAGAAATCTACCTTTTCGCCGAGAGACAGGCCAAGAAGTTGACCAACGCGAACACGCCGGCTAGCACGATCAGCACCAGGTGGGCGCCGAAGACGACGACTTGGAGGCTAGAAAAATGTCTTCCATCATAAAAATCACAGCCCCCCCCCCCCCCCCGCTAACAGTCCAGTCCCCGTTGCTCTAAAATCTCAGGTAACCCACGATGAGTCGTCCTCCTCATTTTCCGACGCATCGCCCATCATCGGCTGGGCAGTTTTGGGCGTGAAAATGGAATATTTTACGTGAAAATGTAAAAATTTATTTTTTGTATGCTAATAGTAACGGCATGGAAATAACGATTTATTCCGGTCGCCAGCTGTGCAATTTGTGTAACGCAATAAAAATTCGTGGAATCGATGAGGAAAATTGAGCGGAAAATCGGTCAGCCACTTTTCGAGTGCGGCGCGCCTCAGAGAGTGATAGAGAGAGATAGAGAAAGAGAGAGAGAGAGGGGGGGGGGAGATAGGCTGACCAGCAGAAATCCTTCAGAATAAATTTTTCCAGCACAACCCGTTTTTCATATTTATTCCAGAACACCAGAGTAACCCGGGAAAGTTGTCTAATTCTTCGGCCCGGATGCACCATCAAGCTGGCGTCGTCTCGGGGGCTTTTTCAGAGGCAGTCGGCGGGTCCGACGGGACTTCAGGGTTGGAAGTGGCGCGCTCTGTAAAGCGTGTACTCTCTCTTTCTAGCTCTCTCTCTCTCTCTCCCTTTCACTCACTCTCCCTCTCTCTCTCTCTATCTCTCCCTTAGTTGCACTCTTTCGCTCTCATTCTCTCGCTCTCTCTCACTATCTCTCACTCTCTCTGACTCTCGCTCTCGCTCTCTCTTTCACTCACTCTCTCTCTCTGTCTCTTTCTCTCTGTATCTCTCTCCCCCTCTCCCCTCTCTCTCTCTCTCTCTCTCTCTCTCTCTCTCTCTCTTTCACTCACTCACTCTCTCTCTCTGTCTCTGTCTCTTTCTCTCTCCCTCTCTCCCTCGCTCTCTCTCTCTCTCACTCTCTCTATCTCTCTCTCCCTCTCTCTCTCTCTCTCTCTCTCTCGCTCTCTCTCTCGCTCTCTCTATGAGTTAAACCCCACCAGAACCCTCCAGCGGCTCAGCCCTTTTCGCAATTCTGAAGTACACGCAGGCAAGGACGGTGATGAAGATGGTCAGGGGGATGGCGATGATCATCCCGGTATAATAGTATGTCTCGAAGGGTCTGAAAAGCGAAGCGAAATGCTCTAAAAATGATTTGCGTTTTGTTATGGCGCCGTAGAAAATCACAGGGAAAATTTGGTAAAGAAAAGTTTGAAAAATCCAAAACCGCGCAGGTTGGTCCCCCGGCCAATGCCGCAAGTTTTGTATCTCAGCTCCCCGTGGTGCTAAAAAGCTCTACAGTATACCAAAATATGCGCCTTGTCCTGGGGAGTATTTTGGTCTACTTCACGGCCCTGTAGCACCTCATCGAGCTGAGCTACAACAGCTGGAATCCCCAGGAAGTTCGACGTGTCGCGTGTCGCGGCCCGAACCATAGGCCCAACTTCCCGTCGTGCTACAGGGGTGTCATGTATACCAAAATACGCGTCTTGGCCTGGGGAGTATTTTGGTATACTTCACGGCCCTGTAGCACATCATCGAGCCGAGCTACAACAGCTGGAATCCCCAGGAAGTTCGACGTGTCGCGTGTCGCGGCCCGAACCATAGGCCCAACTTCCCGTCGTGCTACAGGGGTGTCATGTATACCAAAATACGCGTCTTGGCCTGGGGAGTATTTTGGTATACTTCACGGCCCTGTAGCACATCATCGAGCCGAGCTACAACAGCTGGAATCCCCAGGAAGTTCGACGTGTCGCGTGTCGCGGCCCGAACCATAGGCCCAACTTCCCGTCGTGCTACAGGGGTGTCAAGTATACCAAAATGTGCGCCCGGGGCTGGGGAGTATTTTGGTATACTTCACGGCCCAGTAGCACATCATCGAGCTGAGCTACGACAGTTGGAAGCCCCAGGAAGTTCGACGCGTCCCCCCCCGCTAACGGCCCAGAACCGCTTATTTTGAGCCATCCAGTGCTTTAATTGGTCACCCACATATCATCAGCCTGCACGGTGGGGTTGGTCGAGTTTGTGGGAGAGAACCAGGGAGGGTACTTTAAATGCCATTTCCACTAATAAATTTCAGCTACCACGTGCTCTGTGAGGTTCACGTTTTCCGGATACAGGCTGTAGTACTGGCGCCAAACATCGGCATCTAAATTTGCGGATATTAGCGTCAAAACGTGGCCTAGGCGAACTATTTTTCACCAGAAAGTTTAGCTTCCGTTTCGCAACCTTCCCTTGTAAGAACCCAATCTTGGTGGCGCTGTGCATTAAAGGCTGCTAGAACTCTGGAACGCGCACTGCCACCCCAAGGGTGGGGCCCCCAAGAACGCGCGGAGAGAGGCGTCATTAGTGGGGCCTCGTACTGGGCAAAGGGTTTGGGGCGCCTCTGACTCCCTTCCCCCACTTGGCCCTCTGGTATAGTGGCTAGCGCGTCGGACTGTGGAGCGAACCATCGCGGGTTCGACCCCTGCCCGGTGCGCAACTTTCGAATTTCATCGTTCTGACGGTCTTTAAACAGCTCGTACTGGTGTCTGCCCCTCCCCGCACTCACCGGGTTCAGTTTCTTCGGGGGCTGGACGGGACCATTCGCTCAATGCTGAAAAGGGGGAATTGCTATCAGAATCACGAAAACCAGAATTTCGAAGAAATTCGAGATTCTGAAAATTCGAGATTCTGAAAATTCGAGATTCTAAAAATTCGAGATTCAGATTTTCGATATTCGTCATTCGAAAGGGCGTCTAAAAATCTATGAAGAGTTACAATTACAACTCAGAATAACGTATTAGAAAATCGTTATGACAAAAAGAAGCAGCTCACCGCACCGCAACTTTCCCCCCGCACATTTTTCCCCCACCCGAAATAGAACAGTACCGGGCTACGGTTTACTTTACCCCCCTTACTTTACCTTGGCTATAACTTTTTTATTTTACATTATTGTAGGCTCAAATTAAAACTCTTAGGATATTTTTTGACGCTCTATCGAATGGCGTTGCAAAAATCCCGACAAAATAAGCGAAAATACCGAAAGCTTTCAGAGCCTTCGGCTGTGGGGGGTGGGGGGGGGTGGGTAAAGTAAACTCTTACCCAGTACCGGTTTTAGAGACACAAGAAACGGTGGCAAAATACAAAAAACTCACTGCAGTAATCCCCTTGCCGCGACACATTTTGCATGCACTTCAGCAGCGGGTAGGCCCTATTCGCCTCGGCGTCCACGCGAAAAACGCACCACTTGCCAATGCGCGGCTCCCAGTCCTCCGGCGTGCCGTCCTGGAAATTTCGAGTCCTCCTAGACTCCTCTTTTTTTGTACCACCTACCCATCGCCAGCCGTGGATTGGATGAATCTGGGTTGGCCAAATCTTGTGGGACTTGCACACTAAAATTATAGAGGAGGTAAAAATTGGTAAGACTTCAGATAACCCCCTCCCAACCGGCCCCCAACTTTTGTATCTCGGCTGTCTGCTCAGCTAGAGATGTGTAAAGTATACCAAAGTATTCGTCTTGCTCTGGCGAGCATTTTCGTATACTTTACACACCTGTAGATGAACAGGGAGACGAGATACGGTAGGTGGGTGCCGGCTGGGGGGGGGGGGGGGCAACCGGCACTTAAAGCGCACGTTCAGGGAGGGGCCGTGTACTCGTCCCAACGTGTACACCCTATCGACGTTAGGACCGCGTGCACTGCCTGCCCGTGCTGTGACAGGCCATTCCCCTCCTTTGCAGCGTGAGGCGCCCCTTGCCCCTCGCCGGGTTGTAGCTGTGTCTGCCTGGCAACCATCCGCGTCTCCAGAGCGGGCGGCCCGGGTTCGACCCCGGGCCGCGGCAAAAATCTTTGCTTTTTTCCAAAAAACGTTCCTGAACGTGCGCTTTAAAGACCGTCAGAACGATGAAATATCGTTTAGAGCAAGAAAGTTGCGCACTGGGCGGGGGTCGAACCCGCGACGGTTCTCTCCACAGTCCGACGCGCTAGCCACTATACCACAGGGCCAAGTGAGGAAGGGAGTCAGAGGCGCCCCAAACCCCAGAGGATCTTTGCCCAATACGGGGCACCACTAATGACGACCCTCTATGCGCGTTCTTGGGGGCAGCACCCTCGGTGTGACAGTGCGCGTTCCATCGTTCTGGTAGTCTTTAAGCCAAGTGCCCACCGATGCATGTTTCTCGTTTCTCGGATTTGAACTGGAACATCACCGCCGGCGTCCACACCGTTTGCTTTCCGTCGGGCCTAGAACAAAAGTATAGGGTGTGGCTACGGTAGAGTTTACCACCCCCGCCCAGCTCCTCAGCCATAAGCCTTATTAATGCGTGGGTATCTCTGCAGTCTTGCCAAACTGTATAGCACAAACCACGTTAGCGACGACCGCGCCGGTTTCATCTCGCAATCCACTGGAAAAAAGATAGGGTTTGTGGTACCTGGAAATTTTTTAGGTGCAGTTTACCCCCAGTACGGTAGGTGGGTGCCGGCTGGGGGGTAAACCGAACTCTAACCAAAAAACTTACGCCATGCTTCCTTCGACGTTCCGGGATACGGTATTTGTGCGTGAATCGGGGTCCAGCAGGCGAGCAGTAGAAGCCAGCGAGCCCACATGGTACTGGCTACTATCTGGCGTGTCTTTGGGGGGAAAACTCTGCACGCTAAATATTTAACGCCAGAGCACCGGAAGCGCACGCTAATTCCGAGATATTCAGGCACGGTTGATTCTGTTTTCGTCGCATGCAGATAAAATAGCAGATCTCCATAAAAAAAACACGGTCTCTCTCGCTCTCTCTCGCTCTCTCTCGCTCTCTCGCTCTCTCTCGCTCTCTCTCTCTACCTCTCGCTCGCTCTCCCTTGCCCTCTCTCCAGCTCTCTCGCTCGCTCTCTCTCTCGCTCTTTCCGCTCTCTCGCTCTCTCGCTCTTTCCGCTCTCTCGCTCTTTCTCACTCTCTCTCGCTCTCTCACTCTCTCGCTCACTCTCTCACTCTCCCCTCTCTCGCATGCAAAATCCAGTTTTATTCGGCAATACATCGAAATCACAATCCAAAAATGCGCATAGCAGAATTTGATGGGCTTAAAGTGGAGCTGTAGATGGTAGCTTCAGGTCTGGACGTCGATCCCTTCCGGGTCCACCTCATCCTTCCTCACAGAATCATCCTCATCCCCCATACACGCGTACATCATCTCCATTTCGGCTGAAATTAGGTTTAGGGGCAGGCTAGCAGAGATCATTTGGGAAGTGTCCTTGCCCCTTTAAAATAGCCTACCCAGCTTGTTGGCGATGTACTGCTGCCGCAGCTCGAGCGGGATGCTGTTCCTCGCGCGCACCACCGCGACGACATTCCACGCAATCCACGCGCACATCAGCGTGAAGCCGGCCAGCATGGCGAGCACTTGGAACTGAAAGGCAAGGTAGCAGAGATTATTTGAAGAATGGAGGGGCAGGCTAGCAGAGATTCTTTGAGGAATGGAGGGGCAGGCTAGCAGAGATTCTTTGAGGAAAGGAGGGGCAAGCTAGCAGAGATTCTTTGAGGAATGGAGGGGCA